ATCGACGAGTAGGGAGACTTGGTCTTGACACTGCCGTTCGGTGAGTTGATGCCGCCGGCCTTGAGCCTCTCTCGCGCCGCTGCAGCTGGATTCGGGGCGCCTGCAGCCGCATAGGCCGTGAAGGGCTTCCTGAACATGCTCTTCTGCTTCTGTGGCGCGGGCTTCGGCTGTTCCTGGGCACTGTTCTGCCTCGACATGCTTCCACCGCTGCCGTTGCGCGCCCATGGCTGGTAGTCTTCGCTGAGTAGCTCGACAAAGTTGGATGGGAACAGGCCGACCATGCGCCTGTCGCGCTTCAACCGGCCCATCCACCAAGCTCCATCGCCGGCATTGAGGACTTCAATCAGGTCGCCTTCTATGAATCCGAGATCGCGTTTGGTCTAGTATAGTTGTCAGATAAGTTGCAACAGTAACTCAGCTTCCGTCTGAACTCACCTCGCCTCCCCATGAATAGACAGCTTTGCACCAGCAAGGAAAGCGCACTGGAAGCGCCTGGCCGACTGCCATGTTGGGTATTATGTGGATGTTGTATTACACAGTACTTGGTGTTGACCGGCAACTTGTTCGGTGTATGCACGGCGCGTGGATGACATGCGTCGATTAGAATAGTGAAAGGCGGCGTCGATTAGGTGTGGGACGCGCAAAATGCTCCAGCGAAAGACAGATGTCGATGGTAGCAATGGGAGAGAGCAGTTCTCTGTGGTCACGCCCCGATTGATAGCGGGGATGTGGTATGGTAAAGCTAAGCAGGGCCTATCGCAACCTGACGTCCCGTCTTGGTTGGGTAAACACGATTCAGCGACCGCTCCCCGGGCAACCGCGACCCGCACTGGCCAGGCTGCGGCCCACTTCGCCTACCACGTCACACAATCTTCAACTCTACACCGCGACATTCGCTTCATCTTGCGCACTCGCCCTGCATAACCGCATTTGTTGCGCATCCAGTTGCGCATAATTGGCGACGCTGCATCTTCGTTATGCATTGGGCCGCTATAGAACTACTGCGCTGGCGCTCTCGAACAGATGTTCCCACCATCGGGCATACTCTACCCAGCTGCCTTGTTGTTGTACGCTAATGTGAACAGACCTCTAGCCCTCCTACTAACAGCGGTCTAACGGCAGTAGGCGCGCGCGACTTGTCGCCTTGCCTGCGCTCGGGTCACCAGCTGAGTATACAAGGCTGGCTGATCACGATCCACAATCTGTCGACCAAATGCCAAGCCTCACACCCCATCGCCATCATCACACAAATCAAGGAACATCGAACTGAGGTAAACGCATTGTAATTTTGTCAAAAGCTACTGAGATCGAGCGCTATGAATGCGGGCAAAGGTAGAAAGTAAGCACCACTAGGGCGTGCAATGTGTAGAAAAAGACCGATTCCTCCTCAACTTGACTGCCTGATGGAACACCAGTGAGCGAAACGAATCGCTTACTGTCCGTTCCAAAGCTTAGGGCCGGGCATGGGGTAAGACTTGGGGTTGTTCCTGGGACAATGTTAGTATGTCGGTCATGAGTATTCCGTACGGTTGGGATGAACTTACCACTTGTTGAAGGCAATACCGGCGTCGTTGGCCTTGTAAAGACCGGGGATCTTGACCGTGGGAGAGAGCTTGCCGGTACCGGAAGACTCAATCTTCAGCTGGAAGCACTCCATGTAGAACTGAGCCTTGCCAACGTGGCCCTCGTGGATGGCGATGTGCTCAACGCGGACAAGGTACTCGCCAGCAGGAATGCTCTTCTGGATGGTCCACTCAAGGCGGTCCTTTTGCCAGCTGTCCCAGGCAGTGTCGACACCGGGCTGGCTGGGGTTGATGAGGCCGCTCTCCATGACCTTGGTCCAGTCACCGCTGCCATCGTAGCTGGCGACGCTGCCAGGGGCCTTGGAGATGTAGACGAAGCCCGGGCCGGGGTGCTCAATCTTCTCGTTGAAAGCGAGCTTGAAGCCAATCTTGTCACCGGCCTTGACGGTGTAGGTGGGAACACCTCCAGCCTTGGCTCCCTTGTTGCACCTCAGGTCGGGGGAGTTGACGATGTCGGCGGTGAACGAGGGCATGTAGGAGTTGGTGTTCTTGCGGGTGTAAGCATAGTCACCACCAATGGCCTGGTTGTTGACCATGAGGCGGTTGAAGATGTAGTGCGCATCGACCGTCAAGGGCGCAAGAAGAGAGAGGATGATTGAGGCCTTCATGTTGATGGTAAAGAATGAATATGTTCAAAAGAAGTGAATGTAAAAAGTTGGAAGCGAATGTACTGGTTGGTATCGAATGCTGGATGATTGCGATGATTTTCACAACACGGTAACCACTGCGATACTTATACAAACCAGTCTCCCAGCGTAGTTCACCGCATCGTTCCGCTCCATTGGAGGGATATCCATTTTTCGGTCCCTAAATTTCATCAACACCCATTCTCTTCATCTAATCTACACGGCGCCACCCCACCCCCAAGGCGTCATAAGCCATCCTAAGCCCATAGTACCCAGTTGCATAGAACGATTCTTTTGTTCTAGTCTCACTTTAAATGAAAACAGGAGTCCCAACCACACGTTGAAACTCATTTAAGCGGTGGAAGAGCCGTGCCAAGCCTCGACAACACCAACACAACGACAGCGGAAACCGCTGTCGCCAAGATCTGGGGTGATCATGCGTTTCACGTTTTGAATCTCTGGCACCTTGGCGAATATGCACCAAAAGAAACCGCCGATATTGGAATTCTCCTATTCGTTCCGCGGATGCCACCCGGGCGGTGTAGTGGCCCACTACCCGCGATGCGAATCCGATTTCACGATAGCAATGGTCCGTCGGCTGCCGATATTGGTCATCGTAGCGTTCGGGCCACGGTCTGGACTTCCGACTGTTCTGAATGAGATTGGTGATGAGGCGGAAGCTTAGCTTCACACACTCGCACACACCACATGTCAGCGGGAACGGAACGTCCAAGCCGCCGTGAATTTCCTCCTCTCGCAAGGATGCCTGGTAGACAGGTGACAGGTTCCTTGTCAATTGCAATACCGCTACGTGCCAAGGCTGCGTTGTCGTACAGGATCGGCCGCACAACGTCTGGAAACAGATCAATATAGTCGTGCGGTGGCGTTGGACAATTAGAGTAGGTGGCACGCCCTGTTTCTCCTCGCTGGCCCACGAGTCGATGCATGATTGCAGACCGCTTCGTCCAGAATTCTGAGAGCAACAGATTCCCACGCAGGTACGATCTCGCTACTTCCTTCACTGACGAATCTTGTTGCTGCACATGAAAACACTCACGACCATAGATACTATCACTCAATCAACCCATCAATCTTCCGAGCATCACACCTTTCGAGACGATCGATTCCTCGCGATCGAACCAACTCGTATAGTACTATCCGACTATAACGTCTCCCACCTGGTACATTCACCCTCGTAACTTGTCGATGCTGTCGAGGATGTCGTTCAGCATCTTCTCCCCCTCGTTAATCTTCACAGACAGCTTTGCAAGCATGACACCGAGCTCAGGGCCATAGCACTGCCTCACATCTCCCTCTGTCGCGCTCAGCAGAAACCGATCGACCTCTCGATCGAATGCCGGATCATTACGAACAAAGTCTACAAACTCAAAGACCTGGTCTCGAATCTTGGGTGGAAATGCTCCAATACATAGTTTAGTCCTGCACATCGGACACGATGCATCCATCTCCTCATTGTTGGCAGCGAGCGTGTTGACCCAAGCCTGAAGGCATTGCTCGCCTATGTAATGGCCACAGATCATCTTCACAGCTGGCTCCACATCATCTCGTTCAATCTGATCAGAGAAGCTGCGTCCGCATATCTCACACTCTTCGAAACCAGTCTCTACTGCTTCGTCCGTGGCGCGTTCCGTGAAGCCTTGGACGTACTTCATATCCCCCATATCCATACCGCTTTCGATAGTATGAGCCGAAGTTTCACCCAGAGATTTCCACTCGAGGATAGTCAGATGGCCGATATGCAAGAACAAGGCCGACCATTCCTCGGATGAGGGTAGACATATGAGCTCATGTTCACATGGGGCCAACATCCACTTCTTGTCTTGTGGTAGAATCAGACGCTGCTGGGCTGGATCGTCTTGCCAAGTCCCCTGGCGTATGTAGCGTGGATAACCTCGGGCAGGGAATGTATCCAGGTTCCTCTCGGCCTTTTTCATCAGCCACAGTATGCGCGCGATCACAAATGTACGTCCGGTGCATTCTATATCGTGATCCGGATGGGCTGGAATATATGCAGTAGTATCGTAATCCGGTAGGGCAAATAGCTCCTTCCCCTCTTTGGCGTATCTGAGCTTACGCTCGAGGCTGTGAAGTTGTCGTAATGACTTTAGATATCTGTCGATGAGAGCTTTGTTCCACTTCTCTTGTAGGGAAAGAATTGAACGGGGCTCTGTTAGATCCATTAGGATTGTCGTCTTCAATTTATGAATGTGGACGTCGCAAATCTGGATCGCGTTGGTAAACTGGTCGAGTATCTTGACGACATCTTCATATACAGACTTCAGCTGTGGCTGTGTCATTCCCTCGATGTTTGTTCGTTCGAGAAGGCGCTCGACTCCTGTATGTATCTTCTTACACTCATCAAATAGATTGCTTTTTAGAACCCGCATAGATGCCTCACTTTCGTCTGCTGCTTTGAGGGACATTGCTGATTGTCCGTTCGTATGTACGGTTGAGGGTGGGTTTGGTGATCTGTGAGGAAGTCACTCCGAGGCACTGTTATTATACAGCAGATCTATCCCCAAGTAAATAGGCAGCAGTAGCAAACGATGGGGACTGAATCACTGTACCGTCTGTTCAATGACAATGTCAGCATTTTCCCAGTCGTCAGTCCTTCGAGGCGTAATTATACATTCACCTTACAGCAAACCACCCATATTTCAGCTGAACTTCACTCTCTTCGTCGCATGCTCCTTTGCAACCAACACCTCTTCCTCGAGGGTTTCACTTCAAACCAATCATCCCAGCTACATTGAGACTCACCAACGACGAAATGGCACACCAAAACGAATTAAAAGAAATTGAGCTCCAAGTCCCTGACCACTTCAAGGCCTGCGAAGCCCTCCTTATGCAGATCGACACCTTCCCCGAGGAATTCCTCAACGGTAAGTTGACCCCCGAAAACTTTCCTTCAGTTTGTCAGCGTAGCGCCAAGCTACTCGAAGATATGAAGGCTGCTCTGAGTGAAGCCAGGACCAAGGTCTCGGTGGAGAACAAGCATATGTGGGTAGAGCATTGGACTTGGATGCAGCTGTATGAGGAGGGCGTGGCGACTATGGAGCAAATCAACAACAAGCTACATGGTCCCGACAGGCGGGAGATGATATTGACGCAATTGATAGTTGTACGTGAGTCTGCAGACAGAACGACAGAGCTTCTAAAGCGCATGATGGCGGCGATGGATCAGAGGGAGAAGGAAGCTGCTTTGGCGCCGGTTCTGCGAGACGACAATTGATGTATGCTATTGCTTTATCAACTGAGCTCGTACTGGTAGTTGGCTAGATAGCGTGAAGTAGAGTTCTGACAAATCCAAAGTTCGGATCGTGACGATTGCGGAACCTTCATATCGCGGTGAATATACTCCGCAAACGTGCGTGACATGATGACCCAGGTACCATTGACAAATTGTTTCTAATCGTGTTCTTGGTGGGTGCGGTGTAATGACGAAGTCTTCACTTCAATCGTTCACTGATCATGAATATTGATTGTGGCGAAAGCGATCTCCCTCAGCCAGAGGCACAAATCCTTTTAACGTACCTCTGCAAATCAATATATACCCGGCTCGATACGACCGAAACTCCCAAAGCCCACAAACAGCCTTGGTACTGCCAAAAACCTTGCTCGTTCTCTAGACTACATCTCAGCACGTCGGGAGGCTGAACACCGCCATCAACCATGGACCCCAGGATAGTCATGATGATGCGACAGATGCAGCTGGAAATGCAGATGAGAGCGCAGTTGGAAGAAGCGCAAATGCAGGGCATGCCGCTAAGACAACGCCTGCAAATGGCGGAACAGCTGCGCATGAGAGCGACGATGATGATGGGAGCTCAGCGCGAGCAAATGATGGAGGCGCAACAAGAACAGGTAATCATGGCCGCATATCGCCAACAGATGATGGCAGAGCAGATGCGCATGGCTGGCGGTGGTGCAGGAGGGCCGATGCCACCGGGCGGCATGCCTTTCCCACGTGGCCCAATGTTTTTCCCAGGAGGTATGGGCGGGCCGGGACCCGATCCTCGAAATCATCCGCGAACTGGATCCCCGGACAATACTTCGGATTCCGACGGGCCTCGTGATGCTGGACCCCGTGGAGGGTCGCCAAGACGCGCTGGTGTTCGAAATGGACGACCTGGAGTTGTGTATGGGGATTGGGAGGTTGAGGAAGTAGAGGATGAGAAGTAGAGAGGGTTGCGGGCATCGGCAATGCTGTTCGTAATGGTCTGCGCGTCGGAGTCTGATGTACTTCGTAGGGGCAGATTGATGTATCATATTGACCCCAGAGCTTTAAAGTATATGAAATCTTGATAATACCTAGGTAGCTCATACACTCTTCATAGAGTTTTACCGTTGAAACTGTGTACGGCCATACCTGGGCAATCGGCCTACATGCATATGACAAATGGAGACTTAAAACTGGCGACGAGTTTGTGGTATTCCGCTGTGCTTCAAGGCGAAATCTATGGCTGCGGTCTCATTAAGCTCTGGAAGTGGGCTTGCCGCGCCGCGAAGGATCAGAGGCTGTGATGATTACTGATACTAAGGTGCCGCTGTGCCGTGGTAAAGTCGAGGAGTCAGAAGAAAAGCACGAGAGCAGTGCCTGCGACCAGGTCGCGATAGCTCATGTTTCTACCCACTGTTCTTATTCCCATGTGGAAAGTAAATCGCGAAAGATCATTGTAACCGGTGTCGAACGAAAGGTGGTACTGGAGGAGAGGATGGATTGCGCAAGGGGTTTGTAATCGTAAGTGGGGCCGCCGCCTTCTCCGCTTCCCAAAGAAGGAACAACCACCGCAAGCGGGCAGAATTGCCGGTCTGGTACATCATCCTACAAGCTTACCTATCACCTATGTAGCCGACGCGATTATATAGCATTGAGAGCGATGCCATACACAACATCTCTGATACATTCTGAAATCTAAAATGCATCCCGCGAACGGCCACACCAATGGTCACCAGCCACCAATCGGACCTCGGCTATTCTCCGTCAAGCAACCACCATCACTGGACGAGTTCAAGAAACTTACAACGGAGTCTGTGCCCTGCCACTACCCTCTAGCAAGCAAGGTCGAAGCGAATGTGCCGATATACGATCTACCCGACTATGCTTCGCTCTCTCCAGAACAACGTTCAGCATTACAGGATGAGTTTTACCACATCCTGCTTTCCGGACCAGGCGTGTTCGTCACCAAAGGTCTCTGCAAAGACGTCTCTCTTCTTCAAAAAGTAAACAACGTGTATGCAAACATCATTGCAGAAGAGAAGAAAGTGGCCGGCAAACGCGGCGACCACTTTGCTGGAGCCGGCGCGAACGATCGCATTTGGAACTCCGTTTCGAAACACTGCGAAAAAGACCCAGAGTCATTCGCGCAGTACTACACAAACCCATGGCTACCTCTGATATCTGAAGCCTGGCTCGGCCCACACCACCGCCTCACAGCACAAGTCAACATTGTGAAGCCAGGCGCGAAGGCCCAGATTTCGCACAGAGACTACCACATTGGCTTCCAGGATAACGAGTCTTGTGCGAAGTTCCCGAAGGCGATGCAAGTCGCGTCACAGTTCCTCACGCTACAAGGAGCTGTCGCACATTCAGATATGCCAGTGGAGAGCGGGCCGACGCGATTGCTGCCGTTCAGCCAGAAGTTTGAAGAAGGATACATGGCATACCGCCTCCCTGAGTTCCAGGACTACTTCCTTGAGAAGTATGTATCTGTGCCGCTGGAGATGGGTGACGGTCTTTTCTTCAACCCGGCGCTGTTGCATGCCGCAGGTCAGAATGACTCCGCCAATGTCATGCGTTCTGCCAATCTGCTTCAGATCTCATCAGCCTTTGGTAAGCCGATGGAATCTATCGATACGCATGCACTTGTTGAGAAGACCTGGGAGGGATTGTTGGTAATGTATAAACAGAATGGCCTAAGCGATGAACTCAAGGCACTCGTCAGTGTTGTCGCTGAAGGATACCCTTTCCCGACAAATCTTGATAGAAGGATACCTGAGACAGCGGGCATGGCACCCGAAAGCGAGCAGGATATTCTGATCAAGTCGCTCAAGGCCGGCTCTGAGAAGCAAACAGTGTTGGACACATTGACGAGGATGCGAGAAGAGTCGAAGGCTTGATGCTGTATTGTGTGTTCTCGGTGGATGGTTCACATGGATGCGCGAAATCACGTTCCAGCAACAATGTCTAAAATATGAACTCTATCAAACGCTGCACACTATTTCCTTGTGACACTGTACTTTCCATTCCACAGACCCTGGCGTTGACCAGCGTCAATGATTACAGCAAACACCGGGAAGCTGCTTTAGTTTGTCGACACGTCTCGCTCCTCCAACGCCTGCCACTATCCCCAAGACGTCAAAGTTATGACTTTTCCCCTAGCAACCCTCCTTCATCCCGTCATGTCTCAAGCCCTAGCCGATGCAGAGAAGAAGGCGAAACACGGTATTCTGGAAACTCTACCCGGACACCGAACTATGGCCCTACGACCCGAAGAGAACACCAGCGGCCCTCTCGTAGTCATCACACCTACATCCCCTATATTACCGGAAACGACCGGGCTACAACCGCCACCGTCTCCATCTATGAGCCCAACAAGCGATACACACACAACTACTTCCGTAGCCCTCACACCAGACGCCGAATTCCTCATCATCGAAGCCGAACTCGCAAACTGCCAACTGACACGAGAAGCGCTACAAAGACGCGAATCCGCACTCAAAGAACGCAAAGCAGAAATCGTACGAGAAACAAAGATGAGACTTGACAAGGAAGTCCGAGACCTGGCAACGCAAGGCCAAGAAGAAGATGTCGATCAAGGACTGTTCATGCGCGATGTGCAGCGGAGAGTGGACACGAAGTTAAAGGGGGCAGGAACAGAAGATGAAGCTGCACCGGAGAAAGTGGACCATGCAGAGCAAGTGGAAGAGAAGAAAACTGTCCCCATCAGTGCGCCAGAGCGGAGGAGACTTGCGCGTCTTGCACTGTTGAAGCAAGACCCTAGGTTAGGAAGATGATATTGATATGGATGCTTAACTACGTCTCCCGCACCCATGTGCTCACAATTCTAGTCATGCTACACTGATATGCTGGTGCTCTCATACACGCATCTCTCCTAGTACGCCACTTAATCAAGAGTGAAATACTCCGCAATCTCGGGGAAAAGTCTGCCCATCCTCTCCGATGTGACTTCGTCCACCTTGAGGATCGGGTCGAGTTTGTACGTAAGCCACAGTATCTTTATGTTGAGACAGGTCATGGCGCGGGCTTGTACCGAGACTTCGCCTGTTGTCTTTTAGTAAGAGTAAGGGATATAGCGGAAGTGCCTCACGTCTGTGATCTGCAGCAGTGTTCTCGATGATCTTGTTTAGATCCATAATCTCGTCTTGCAACTTTGTGAGTTGCTGACTGTAGTGATAGTTTGCATCGCGCTGTGCAGTGGTGGGTGCGACTGGGTGCCCTGACGAGGACATTGTGTGCGGATTGGTGTTGTTAAATGGAGATACTTGGGAAAAGAATCAAATGTATTGCGCTGATGTGGCAGCGGGTTATCGTATCGCATCAAAGACTCATATACCACTTCGAAGTCGAGCGCTAACACCGACACGAAGGCGGCAAAGGCTAGACACAATGTGAAGACTGTATGATTAATTACACAAACTCTCTTACTCCGCTGTACTGATCGGAATGCTTGTGTGTGATGTTAAGATGTTTGAACGTACTTCAAGTATAGCGTCGCTGGCCGAGGCGCGTTCGCTCCTTACTGGAATGCTTGCGTATTGATCAGTGTGCCGTTCAGCTATGCAAACACATTCACCCTTCCATATCGCCAAGTACGCATATATCCTCTTGCCATAATTGTCATCGACAACTAGCATCACTCTATCACACTTCTTACGCGACAAACCTTGACATATACACAGCGCCTAAGCATCACTCACTCCGCACCCTACCTCATTCTCAACCTACCACATCAAACCATCACACTCAAGTCACCGAATATGTCACACAACACCCCCGACAACCTCCTTAAGCTCGCCGCCGACCTGAACAAACTCGGTGGAGAACTCTGCGCCATCGGTGGCAAACTAGCGACAGCCGCCACAACCCTGGAGCAAGAAGCTGCGAATGTTGCTCTTGCCAATGCGCAACGGTGGGGCGTCGATGTACAGGTATGCATTCGCTAGAAACGGGTTGTCAGAGTCAGAGTACGGTTGATGCTGACAACATGCGCAGGTCGCTGTGAGAGCTGGTCCGCATGGTCAGTGGGTGGGCCAAGGGAATGAGATTGTCGTTAATGGAGTGAAGAAGTAGTGGTGATGCTGAGTGAGCGTTGCGGAGGAAGGGAGGGAAGAAGGGAGCCACGGCATATGCACATGGAAGGCGCGGGGTTGAACATCAGTCAGGCGCGACGGTACACACCGAGCTGTGTGGTGCGGAAGGAGAAGCGGAGTGCAATGACAACACCCCTCTAGATCAGTGTAACATTACCCTCATTCCACGGTTGTCTGGCTCCTTTGCAAGCTTCGTGATGTTGCATAGAAGCGAACGCAGATTGTGGGTAAGACTTCTCCCCGCATGTTGGGTCTCATTACCCCTCTTCACATCTTGGGGTTTAGCGCTGCAGAGATTTATCAGATCATCAGATAAGATGCGACACCGGACGCCCGACCAGCCACTCACAGCTCAAGGTCAGCTCCGAACCATCTCCAGCCTATATCGCTCATGTAAACTTAATGTTGTACGCGTAGACATATTCGACGCGACTGGCTGCGAACCAGAAATGGCGGTCTGTCTTCGGAGGACGGATGCCCAGGTTCGGCGGTGGTGTGATTGCGCCCATGCCTGGAAGTTGACGAGCCAAGCTGCGGAGCTGGGCACGGGCGGACGTACATTCGGTATAATCCTGAAAAACTCATTTACGGAGAGCGGAGATCTGAGGGTCGTCACATGCAGGCAGATATATGAATTGAAAGAGTATCATTTGACCCGTAGTTGGGTTCGTTGAAACGTGTAATCATTAGTCTAATTCCGGGCTGCAGTAGCCATGCGGTATGATACAAAATGCAAGAAAGTGAAGAGTGTGTAACCGTCCACTCGTCGTTATTCATAGCGACCGTCAAAACCCTCAAGTTGTGTTCTCGTTACGGATGAACGACCATGCGAAACAGGATACAGACAC